CGGTGTGAGTTTAAGCCACTGGGTCTGGGACTCAAACCGTGGTCGACTACATGGGAGTCCAGTGACATAGCCATTATGCGAACTGCTGGTCCTGCCCTGTAACAAATTTTACTAAAAAAGGAGAAGAAAGAAGAAAGATAAAAGCAAGATTAAATATAATCACAGAATCTCACAGAGTGTGACCTAAAAACCAGCTCACCTTACCGAAGCAAGCAGTCACATCCCACTAACATCTCAAGGCTTGTGCGCACTTTTCCTGCCTTATATCTCAGAAGGCATCAGCGGGACTGGACGGTGGCATGGGGGTAAAATGAGACACTCTGGGAGGCTGACCTGCATGGGAAGGTTCTGGGTTTATGTCCCGAGACCTCCCTAGGTACTCTGGGCGAGCATTTGCCCAAGATCCAGGGTTGGCTGAGGCCAAGGGTGGATCGCGGTATCAGGCCCATTGGGGGTACTGTCTCTCTGTCCCTCTTACTCATGGAATAAAACGGGCCAGCAGGTAGCGTGGTGGTTAAGGCACTGCACTCCCATATGGTGGACTATGGTTCAAGTCCCAGACTGGCGGCTTGCTTTTTCACTTCCTTCTCTCTTGCTGTCTCTCTGGTGAATAAAAAATGCTAATAATAGGGATCAGTAGATGGCATAATGGTTACGTCGCTGGACTCCTACATAATCAACCATGGTTCAAGTCCCAGACTCAGTGGCTTGAAACTCACGCTGGGCGCATGTGTATGCAGCCCTAAAATCCTGAGAGGAGAATGGAGGAGAAAGGATTATGGTGTGGCCATCTCCCCCCCGGGGAGTGATTTCTTGCTTTCTGTCTCTCTGACAAGCGCACGCCTCCTATAGCAAAAATCTCGCTCCAAAAAATAATACATAAAATTTTAAAAAGAGAAATAAAATTTATAGAAAAGAACAAACAGCTCCATAAATATCAGCAATTAATACTTGTAAATTGAAAGTGATAACAATCGAAATAAGACATCAGACAAAAGGCAATATTTGGTGAAAAAATACATATTGTGGGGTTCTGACTCGCGGGTTAGAAAGGAAGCCTGTGGCTGGACAGGCCATTCTCCCTCTTCCAGTGCACCCAGGGAGTGTGCGGGCTGTCCTTTCCACTCACTCATGCAACTAAAAATAGCTCTGGTTCTTAGAAGTCTGCGGCATGTCCAGCCACCTGTTAGTGGCCAGTCACACACCTCCACGCAGCCTCCGCAGGGTCACGAGGCTGTGCGGCAGAGGGGAGGAGGGGCTGGCGTCCACTGCATGCTCATTCCAGGTCACCGCTTCTTCATTCGCTCAGCCCAGCTACTGCTGTGACAAGTGCCAGGCCCAGTGCTGGGTCCTAGGGGCCTGGGTCGATCTTGCAGTCTACTGGAGGGAGTGCGCAGGGAGGGGTTTAACCTTGCCCAGAGAGAGGTCTGGACTCTGACCTGGACTCCTGGGAGGTAACTTCCTCCCTGATAAAAGCACCAGTGTTTACCTGAGGGCCGTAGGCCATACTGGGTAGGACGGTCCAGCAGTGAGATCTAGGCTGAGGTCTCTGGGCCACAGGGAGATGGGGCAGGGGGGTGGACACATGCTCACGAGGACTTTTGGGCAGGCTGGAGGCCAAGGTTGGCCATGTGAGCAGACAACCAGAGTCCACGAGCCGAGGCCCAGTACGAATTTGGACACCGAGCCTTGGGAGAAGTCCTCTGGCCGGCAGAGCTCTGTGTTATCGAGCAGTCACTGGGGAAATGGCTTCTGCAGTGACTTCTCTGGGCGAGAACTGGAATCTGCATCAGGACTGCCTGGATTCTGTCCCATGCATGCCTTCCCTTGGCTGACTTTTCTGTTCCCTTTCACCATAATAAACCGTTACTGTGAGTATAACAGCTTTCGATAGGTCTGTGATGAGTTACCAAAACCGAGGATGGCCTTAGGGGCTCCCAAACTGGTCACTGGTATCAGAACTTAGGGCAGGGCCCAGCCTTGGTGGCATGGGTAGTGGTATACTGATGTACAGAGCTGGAAGCCACATGGCCGGTCACAGGCTCAGACTCCAGTTCAACCTGAGACCTCCCTGTGATATCCAGGGTGCTGCCCGGCCAGAGGGCTGGGGGGCGGGGCTGCAGCATGAGACCCTGACTGGGCGCTCCCTCCCCACCAATGCACGCACGTACTCGCTCTCACGGGAGAAATAAGCTACAGCAACAGTGAGGGCAATCTCGGGGACTGCTCCCCAGATAGACACCTACTTTGAACAGTGTGCAGAGATGAGCACTCCTATGAGATGCAGCCAGGTGGGTGAGCAGGGGACATAGAACATAGAGAAGACTGGCTGGCCCGCCCGC